AAACACAGAGTGGGATTCAGTTCCAGACACTCAACGTTTTAGGTGTACACAGGTGCACTATATGTTAATACTACTGTCACAGTCAGAGGAGCCTGGAGCGCAATTTAGTTGCTCAGATGTCCGCTTCAGGCTAAGCACAGTGATTCTCCAAGCTCCACTGACTGTTATCCATCAGATTTCTACTGAGTACAAAATGAGATTAAACAATTGTCATGTGTCAGCAATGTGAATTTAGATTTGCATTAATTCTGAAATTAAGACAATATCTCACTGTACTAAATTTATAAGGAACTTGGATTCCAGCTTTTCAAGCTCTGAACCACAACTACATTCAACAAGGTAAAGAAAGCATCTCCTTTGTCAGATATTAAGAGCAAATTTATTTTCTTAATTTAAGGTACTCCACACTGGGAGCAATGTAAACTACACTAGCATCACAAAAAAATCCACAGAGAACTAGTTTATGGTAAATTTATACATCAACTTATTTTTCATAGACAGCTCTGTGTACACAAACCTCTAGCTGTCGTTACCTGCCCAAGGAATAACAATAAAAACACAAACATCAAGGAATGGTAGACTATCAGACTAACTTGCCCTTTTTTATAGATCAGGGAGCAGATAGGACAATTCTATCATGAAACTAGAATGAACCTTACAGAGGCTGGGTTTCCAAAGTGCAAGGAGAGACTGATGTTTCCCTGATGCATTGAATGCAAAATTGCCCATCCATTAAGACTTGTATCTAGTGCGTGTGTTTCTGAGGTAAGTGCACAGACACCCTTCGAGGAGTGTTCCTGGACTCTCAATAAACTCCGAATCCACTGCTCAAAGGCCCCTCCAACTCGCTCGGTGTGAGTCTCGGAATCTACAAGGTTAACAAGTAAACAACACCACTGTTGACATTTTTAACAACAAAAGCAACACCAGTCCAGGAAACCCAAGGCATGAAAAAACCCCTCATATAAACAGATGCAGGAATGATCAACACTTTTCCTGCTCCAGAGGCACATAAAACAACCAGATTTTCAAACCCAGAGTGGGCCAGACAGGATGACACTGTGAGAATGATTGAGCCCTGTAGTTCCCACCACTACAATGGGAGAAGTGAGAAGAGGCCTCGGGAAGATGCAGATGCAACAGAGAGGGAATACTAACCAAAAGGAGACAGAATAGATCTGGAGATATCGTTTGCTTTCACTGAGAAACCAGTAATTCTTTAGACAACGCTATATATTTCTGCTACAAAAGACCAAGTTGAGCCACGTGGGCTACGAGATGAAGGAGCTTAAAAAGTTCATAATTTTCCTAATGGGTAAGAATTCTGCCACAGCAGGACTTCTAACTACATCTTTTCATAGACTAAACAATAAACTGAAGTGCAGACTGTGAGTTATGTAAAACTATTCCTGATCACTGATGAAGAAATTTTAAGAAATAAATCTGCATATGCAATATTAAACTGGCCATTTTGGACAGACACAGCATCTTTCTTATTTTAGATATATGTAAATATAACACTTAAGATACAAGACTTGTGTCAAATTAGAGACAAATTTTTACAGAACGTGTGAGTGTTCAACAGTGCAAAATTAGCTTTGCATTAGCATTTTAAATTTTAGCAACAAAATAGAAAATAATAAAATAGCAATGGGAAGCTATCTTCAGAATTGATCACTTTTATATGACTTCCTGGAGCACTAGCATCAATTACGCTCGCATGTCAAAACAATGTTGGCACACTGCCAGCGAAGACTCAGATCAAGGCCACCCATTTATTCATTTATTCCTTTTTGGAAATCAGTGAATGCTACAGACAACTTTTGGTTTTTAAACACGAATATTATACTGTGAAGGAAAATGAATCAAAAGCCAGTGTGTCCTTGTTGTACATGTAACTAAAAGGAAAATTGCATTTATTCAACTTGCTTCATTTCGAGTCTGCAGTCCGCCACCTGCAAGGACAGTACTGACTGGCTGCTTTTAGCAGTCTACTTCATAAGGTGTGATGTAACAAGGTGTGTGATGTCACAAGGTGTGTGTAAGGTGTGTGTACTCATTCTGAGGCCTTTATTTTATTTCAGTCTCACCTCTGTAATCAGTGTTATCAAGGAACCATCCAAAAGTATGATGTTGTTGATAAAAATTGACACAGCTTTCAGTATTTTATGGCACAAATAACATTTCTTTTCCTCAGCTACTTGATAACGCTTTTCCGCTTAGAGCAGACTGGGTGCTTCTTGTTGTGTAACACGTTGTTGCATATGAAATAGCCCTATCACAACAGGATATCCACAGCAATCATTTATCTCATGAACATGAAAACACTGTACATATTCCTAAGTACAGGGAATGCCTTAGATGCCAGTGCTGGCTTGGAGTCTCGCATTACTGAGCCTGACCCTCATATAAACAACAGTCCATTGGGAGACTGTTTATTACGGATTTATTAGAAGCCTTGTCAATAACTTACTCGTGCTTTTGATAATTCTGTACTCAGTTGCCAGGAGACTTGTGTTCCCGACGAGATAAAATGAACAGGAAATCCTCTATAGCCTTGTCACTTTTTTCACGAGTAAATAAAAATCAGAGCAACTCTTATAAAATACTAGCTTCTGTAAACAGAGGAGAGAAAAAAAAGACAAGCATTGCATATTTTAAATAAAGCAACATACAGCCCTTTTTGCCCTCTCCAATTGTAAGATGATAAAAGATCACCTTTATAAAGCAGAATGACCGGATTTTGTGGAACGTGGCTGTTTTGGCTCCAAGGTATTTGCAGTGTTATAGTATCAGAGCCAGGATACAGCTGCCTTGTGACTAAGACGTCGTTCACTGAATAAGTGCTATCCAATCCCTCGACGTCACCAGACATCTGTTTCCTGTTTTCATTCTTTCTCTCACTGTTATCATTTTATCCAAGTTACCCTTTCACCTGAAAACCATTTAGAAACCTACAGAAACCAGCGCGTGCACGCGGGCGAATATCAAAGAAGTTGATGTAGAAAAAAAAAATGGTTAGAGCAATTTGTTCATTTTAATACAAAGAGCACGAGTGGAAACAACGTTGCCTTCCCCCCTCTTCTCCTCCCAAAAATACACAATGATACATAAACACTTTTGTCTTCTGGTCTTCACTAATATGACTAACTTCCTTCTTCGCTTCCAGTTAAGTAGCTTTCCTGTTGAGTACCACCACCACCTCCACAAAATACAATTGTGAATCGATTCATAAAAACAGAAACATTATGGCACAAATAAGGGAAGGCAATAAATACTCTTCCCCCCGCGACTCCCTCCCAAATGGAGGCAGCAGTATTGTAATAACAAAAAGAAAAAACAAAAAAAGAAGTAAAAAAAAAAAAGTATTGCTTGTCATTTAAGTTTCCAAACCAACAATCATCAGGATGCAGAACAGGATACATCTAAAGTGAGAAAGTTATTTACTTCACATTCAAGTTAACACTAGCTATAGTGTTTTTGGCACACAGTATTATTCTTAATGTGCCAAAAAAGTGTTGTGCACCTTATAAAATATGAATGTTAACACCACTAAGACCAAATTCCTGCTATTCACAATCCAATTTTATATTGGTGTTGTTTTGCCATATTTCATCTATATTTAAACCCCAAGTCAGGAGAATGACCATTACTGATAGCATCTAAGAAACAGTAACAACAGGCAATAGAAGCTGAAGAGTAAATTTGCAAAAATTACTGACTTTCCATTTTTAATGTCTAGATTTCAGATTATTTAATCAGCATCAGACTAGAAGAGTTGTTTTGCTTTGTGATTACAGATGCTCATATTAACTGACAGGTCAATGTGTTAAGTGAAGCAAAAATTGGGGCTGGTTGACAAACACAAAAGAAAAAAATCTGTCCACTTCTTGTCATTCTCTGAAAGAAAAAGAAGGTATTTTAAATTCCTCTCCCCACTCTGAGGCATACAAGTGAAATACAGATGTTATACAGGAGAAATAGGAGATTCTGGCACTTGGAGGGCTTCCCCTAGGAGATGGGATGGTTTGGCAGCTACAGGAAGCTGTAAGTAGCATTTCCAAAGGCACATGAAAATTGGAAAGCGAGACTTACTCTTCTGTTCTGGTCTTCCGGACTGTTTCCTGCAGCCTAATAACCAAATTACACCCAGTTTAAAGCCAAATTCAGCTTCCATTAAAGTTGATGTAATTATGAAGCATCTCAGTAACTTCTGAGGAGTGAGATCGAGTTCTGATAGATTAACTTAGTCTCCTCTCTCATCTTCCACTTTATTGCTTGGTTTATCATCCCAAATGCCCAATCCTAAACTTTCATATGAAATCTAGAATACTCTTGCCTAGTAGTAATAATAGTATTCTGGAGAGACTGATGAAACAAATAGTTGTTGGAAAATATTTTTCAAGATTGTGTCAAGTCAGTGTGATTAAAATACCTGTTGATAAAAAATTCTGCTATGCATTTTTATTAATTGCATTACATTTGTGTCTGGACAAGTTTTAAATTATGTTTGAATAATAATAGCCATTGATTTAAGATAGCTATCTTTTTTTTTTTTTTTTTTTAATTTAGACAGAAAGTTCTTCTAAACTGCACACTCTGTCTTTCTCAATTCCACCTGAAGGAGTAAGACAAAGATCAAGACCTCTCAAGCTCTAGCGCTATTGATGAGAGAGGCAAAATCCAAACATTGCTTAAGTAATTCTTCTGTATTTTGTTATTTCTTGTTGCTTTTAGTTTTCCCTATCCAAAAAACAGATGGTCTACCTCTTAGAGGTATTCAAGATACCATTTTCTAAAACATAAAATATAATGCTATGTAATATGATTGCAAATCTGATACTAGTATTGTACAGCTGTATTTCTGATTTTAAAGTGACGGGGAAAACATAAACCAATTATTAGGTCACAGTTCCTTTTTGGAATCATCCTCTGAAATAAATGAGACATCAACACATTTTGTCTGAAAAAGTAACAGCAAACCATTGTGAGAGAAAGCACCCCAACACACGCTTTATGGCAGACTCTACACTGTTTCCAAGTATTAAGACTTTTCATGCACTGTATTATGACAATAAGAAAGTCGGGAGCTACACCAGAAGATCAGATAAACAAAAATTTATGTTTTGTCTAATACAACAGGAGTCTTAAAAAAAACCAAACACCACTTCGTATCCATTATTTCATACCCAGATGTTTCCTGTACACCTGCAGTTGTCTCCAGTCCTGAATTCATGAGCTGTAGTATTTTAACAGCCTCTCATCAGTTGGTTTTAGAATTTTCTTGTCTGCCATGTTTACGATCCACCCTGGAGCAAGACCAAAAAATATCTGTCTGGGATCCTTGCGTGTGCTTAACATTTTGAAGAGTTCGTCCTTCGTTATGTCTGGTAAGACATAACCATACTTCTTGGCAAGTTCAAGCCTGGCTTCTGCAACCTTAGATGGATCTGCCAGGTACCCACGATTCCTGGCATCTGTGTAGTAACGGACTAGATCTTCGGGTGGAAGCATTCGCTTTGGAATAGGCTGGCCACGCAGAAAAAATACCACTGGCTTACATAAAATTTCTGTGGGCAAACATGAGAGAAAATTAGATACTATGCTTTATAATACATATTTGAAGACATTAAACGGCACCTTCTTATTTAGTATTTTGTGTTAAAAAAATTATTAAACTTTTATTAAAAAGTATCAAGCAAAAAACCAAATCTTAAGAACATTCTCATTCAGAATGAGGGTGTTTTACAAGCTTCACTTAAGCAAACAAACAACTCTGTTTAATTGTTTATCGTGACAACCTGGATGAATCATTACTTCCAATACATTTAGAATGCCTACTTTGGAAAGACAGAATCACTAAGCTAGGTGCCACCATTTATTTAAAAGCTTGACTTCCAGGTTAGAAGTAATGCATTTGCATGGCTGTTTACAGAGTGCACCAATAAATGTCAAATTTAGTGTTTCTGTAAGTATTTTAAATAAAAAATAAATGGTGTGTGCATCTATTTAGTAATTTGTGAGACTATCTTCGCCTCCTCAAGTTTAACTGAGTTTGGCAAATGACATTCCAGATTCTCTCAACCTCAGTATTTTGATTATTTTCTGGATTGGAAAAAAATAATTTGTATCAGGGTAACATATTTTGCACACTAAAAATGTCTGTTCCTCTTGTTCTCAGCCTCATTCACACATGAAAGCTCCATTATTGTCAATAAAAACTGCATGAATGAATATTAGGCAGGATGCAGCCTCAAGCAAAGCAAAGCCTCATTCTTCAGCGAAAGTGTTCTGAAAACAATGGCCATTTTGACTGTAAATGACTCTGAGCTTCTGTAACTTAGTTATTTCCTCACTTTAACTGAAAAAGTATTTTAAATTAAAAATTTAAACATCCACAGTGATTTTTAAATCTGTTTCTTCCCTGAACTTTCTTAGGGTTATTAAACATGTGAGAAAGTTAAAAGTCAAAAATTCAAAGAAACAATCTGTTATTAGTTCCTCTCTATTTACAAAGCTACTTGGATTTCTTTAACTGGGTTACTGGTAAATGATTACTAACGCTGGGAGGGCTAAACAGGTGAGCAGTTAAAAAAAGCAAAACTGAGGATGCATTACAGTTCAGAATTTGTATAACAGTGTGCTGCTGAAGTTTTTAGAAGTGGATGATACTCAAGTAGGAACTATGTTTGAAACTTCCATTTGGATCATTTAATCTTGATACATTAAAAAAAAAAAAAGTCAGAAATGTAAAGAAATTCTTACCCAAACTCCTTGGATCGTAGAATGATGTTGTTACCACACCTCCATTTTTTTCTATAGTTGCAATTGCTAGTTCAGATGCCCTCTGCACTTCAATATTTACTTTTGCTGAAAAGATATCGGCACCCTGTAAATTTCAACACATATTAGAGTAACATTAAAATGAGTATTCTAGGACATACATTTATTCTTCTCTGCAAAGGTGTAAGAAATCCTGCATTAAATCCTGCAAAATATTATGATTTATCTGTTCCCTGCACCAAGACAAGTAACCAAATTGCTCTCACTCAGTCACCTGGGTTGAACACAAGAAGTTTACCTGTCCAAAATATCCATACATTTCTTTCAGTACGTTCTAGTCTTCTGCTGTAAAATACTTTTTCGACTTCTTGTTAAGCTAAGCTCCTTAACAACTATTTTTGTAGTCTCTCAGGCCTTAACAGATGATCCCGTTTGGGTTTTTTGCTGACACACAGTGCCCTCTAGTGGATTTATAACCACAAAAATCCCACAGCAAACTCCTTTAGAAAAGCAAAGGAGTCCTTCCAGAACAGGGGAAGGACACTCTGACAGCCTGGTATGGAAGAACTGAAAACCCAAGGCTTTATACTGCCGGAAGTAATAAGTTCCTTGTCTGCATACCTCCTCCACCAGCTGGACACCGTAATCCCTTTTGAGAGGTTGCACCGTTACACCTCTGGCATTAGTGAGCTGTGTTAAGTCAATTGGTTGCGTGGGGTCAACTCTACCCAAATCAATCAGGTACTGCAGCCTCTGAAGACTGAGCGGTTGGTACTGACGTCTGAGGCTGGGGAGAAGAAAACAAACAAACAAACAAAACAACAAAACAATGAGAAATTTACAAAATTGAAGCTTTAATAGGAACTGGTCAAGTGAAATACAACACACTGTATTCCATTCTGACCCTACTCTTAAAAATACCAAGTAAAATTTTAAACCAGACCCATACATAAGCCAAAATTTTAGATTTAATTTAATGCAAATACAAGCCCTAGTCACAGCCCAAGACTCCATTATGCATTCAGATTTGCCTGCACACCTCCACCTCCAATGTGACACTAATAATTTTGCTGTTGCTGAGCTCAGTTTACCCCAGAATATCTCTCTACCTGCTGATTGGTTTAAGGAAGCAAAAAAAATATGAAGAAATGGAAGTGTATTTCTTGGTAAGCCAACAAGATTCTAAATAACTACCATCTTCAAAGTGAATCCAGCTTAGCAGCTTCACTGATACATTCAGAAAATCTGTCAAAAAAATACAGTCAAAACCAAATATACCCCCCCATACAAATTTATTCAAAGACTATCAGCCAAACTGTGCACATGCTCCTGCATAGCTTGCCTCTATCCAACAGGATTTTTTAGTCTATTGCCACTGTACCCCATAACTCACGAGCACTGAATGGAATCTTCCTCAAAATACCACCAATGGAGAGGGTTATTGAGAAAACATGCATCAATCCATATCCCCAGAGGAAACTGGAGTATTTTGTTAACAGCCATCAGCTTCGGCAGAATCTGCTTTTGCATTTCATGAAGTTCTAACTTTACTGTACAAACCAATCCTTGGAACAGCTTTTGCGATGCCTATGGCACACCCTTTATGTGGATGCTCAGAACTTCCTCATACAATCAGTTTAACCACTGCTACTGGAAAGCAGAGAAAAAAAAAGGGAGAAGCTTATCTTTGTTACTGGCAAGCTATGCAAGACAAGGTAAGTGACAGAATTTGCACTGTCAGACAGTTCCTAAGAGCAAAAGTTCAAAAAACAGAGGAACACCGCTGCAGACAGAGTCAGGTGAAGATAAACAGGCAGAGACATTGTTCAGCCTGTTCCCATCCTGCCACAACTGTCTCTCTCAAGTGCACTTACAATGTTCACTAGAAAAACATTTACAATTGCCTGGCATTGAAATTTTGCCAACAACACTGAAAATAAATTAGAGAGTACTTTTGTTTGTTTGTTTCCACATGCTGTTAGATGTGGTTAAAAAAAGCAAGACCCTATTAATTTCTTGTCACTGCAGAAGCTTGGATTTTTGCTGTTGGCTATTCATGAACCTGTGACCACTGTTAACATCAGAGGCTCAGTGCCTGCATTCTGCAGCATTTCCTTTGTGGGACTGCAGATCCACACTGTGTCTTCAGCTACAAAAAGTGCTCCTGATTTACTCTTATAATAAGTTAAACAAACAGGAGGAAATTCCAGTACTTGGAAATACAGTTTGAATCACACTTCAAAACTAGTAAGACTGACAGAGAAAACCTTTGACAGTCAGGACAGGTCTGTAGGTTATTCTGCACGCATAAAGAATGGAAATATAAAAATGTACAGCTATTTGGTGAAGTTGTAACAGCAAATGAAACATAAAATCAAACTGTAAGTTTAACAATTCACAAATAAATTCACCTAAGTCCTTTTGTTCTTGAACTGTCTGCTAGGTGTGGCATGCTTTTGTTACTACTGCCTATAACAACTTCTGTTTCCATACAGTGCTTTTGTGATCATACCTAAAAGCAATGAAATGGTTACACACCATCTTAGGAAACAAAACCAGCTTTCAACAACAACAACAACAAAATTTTGTAGTTGTCAATATGGTGAAGGAAATTAATAAAACACTGGCATACAGATCTCTGCTAAAAACAGTGACTGGCTAGAAGAATCATTTTAAACATTTAAAAGCTGAAAGAAGGATGTGGCACAAAGAAGCACAATGTGAAAAGGAGACAGAAGTGCCAAACAAGGCAGAATGTCTGAGAAGAACAACTGTGAAAGGTGACTTAATGGCTTCATCCAATAGACTTGATATTAAAGAGCTTGTTAAGATCCTAGGTGGAACAGACGGAGCACAGACAGACAAAGGCTGCAGTGTTGCAGGGCTAAGAAAGTAGAGTCATGAAGAGAAGCAGAATTGTTTGGCCAGCAGCAGATCAGACCTCCAGGTGAACAAAGCAAAGAGAAATAACAAAGCGAGGCTTTGGATTACACTTCCACGCCTAACTCCTGGCAGGAGTCAATGGGGCTGCTCCCAGCCAGGGCAGGAGGTCACCTGCTGTGCGTGGGCAGGCAGAGGCACAAACAAGCACGCCTGGAGGAGCGGTCTGAGGGGAGAAACGCACTCGGCTGCAGGAGGAAGGGTAACCTGCTGCGTATGACGGATCATGCAAAGAAAAGGGCAAATAAGCAGAGCTGTGAAACAACAGAAAATAAATGAGTTCTCTAAAAAAATAATCTCACAAGAAAGGGGAGATTCTGCTGGTAAGGAAGCTAACAAACTAAGAGGGAAGTCTAATTTTCAGGCCTCCTTCTGGCTTCAGAAGAAAGGTCAAGAAAAGCAGACAATGATTAATTTCTGAGTAAATGGGAAGAAACTTACCTATGTCCCTCATTAAACCCATACTTTGGTATGGCCAAGTAAAATGGAGTTTGACCACCCTCAAAGCCTAATCGGGGGCGATTTCCTCTTTGCCTTTCTCCTTTGTGACCTCGACCACACTTCCTACCTCTGTATCTTCCACGGCCACGTCTTCTCTCCTTGAAAACAATTAACGATACATTTAGTTGACTACTGTGGAAACAAGTATCTACAAAACATAAGGTTTCAGAGATATAAACAACTGAGCAAAATGCTGATTACAGAGGAGAAAAATAAGTGTTAGCTCTTTTCTAAGGGGAAAAATAGTCAGAAAAGCTGTTAATGTGAATTTTGCAGAGCACAGCTCCAGGAAGGCACCACAAATTGTCTGGAAGTTTATATTAACGCATATTGCAATAAAAGGAATACTAGTATTTAATCCTACCTCTTACACTCTGCACTCTCCAAGTTAGAGAACTTTCCTAAATGGTTACACAGTTTTTCCTATTTCCTAAGCTACCATTCACTGGAGTGTGAACACACGTGGAAGGAGCAATGTCATGTTGTTAACTAGTCTCATATCTGCACAAGGCAACTCACACACTTGCTATTTTACACTGTGTTCCTCAGTGTGAATCAGTCAGGCTGGGAGACATGGAAAGCAATGCATTCTAAACAGCATTTGTACTGCTTATAAACCAACTGTGGCTAAGTCACGGCATAGTCACTGTTGGATCAATAACAATGTAAATAATTCATTATTAAAGAGACTGCAGTAAGCCCTTTCAGTTTCTCATTCCTAGTATTCAGCACTCAGACAGCCAAACTTCAAGCACCCCTAATCCTACAAGCCACTCTATGCAGTTAGACTGCAGCACAGAACACTGAGTAAAACTCGGGTCTGAAAACTGGTCATTACATCATGGTACTCGATTATTAGCCTAACACCACAAAGACATAAAATCTGATGTGTCCGTAAGTTTCCCAAAGTTATGGAGCAGTTAAAGTGCACTGAAATATTAGTAGAAAAGTCAGTATGGACATACATCAGGAAAAAATGCATTGATATATTTGAAACACCATCTGACCTAAGATGCACAGCTTACCTGTATTAATCCTAAACAGTACAGAGTTCAGGTGCAGTTTTATGCTAGACTTGACTGTCCCCTGCCACCAAAGGAAGCTGACTTGTCCCCAGCCCACAGGCTTTGCCACTGTACTCACAGCGCCTCTTGTGCTGACACAAGCAGTTGTGTTGCTCCGAGCTGGACACGTCAAGGAACTAAATTAGAAGAAAACTAATTTTTGTCTAACTGGTTTCAGCTGTTTTAGTTCCCTGCTCTGGCTCACCACACAACCTCTAGCAGCAGTACAAAATATACAGGGGGTGTGAGCAGCTGGAGGCAAGGAGAGGACGCAGCTGGCCCACCCTTTCTGGCAGTTGCCCGTACACACATCACATCACATTGTGACTTTAGTTAATACAAATACACCAACAGTACCTGGTCACTAACAGAATGTAACCAGTACATTGAACAGATTTTAGATTGTCACAGGAGACAACCAAAACTGGGGTTGGTTTTGTTTGTTTAGTTTTGGGGGTTTTTTTGATACAACTTCTGTTTGTGAAGTCAAGTGCTCTTAAATCTGCTTATTTGAGAATTTCATTGATCACAGAAGAAGGCTGTCGGACACCAAAAGAAAAGTATCAGAGAAACAGAGCTGAAGTCACTTGTACAAACTCTAACTGAAGGCAAACAGTCAGCAGTAACATGGGGAAAAAAACATTAATTTCCTATACAGCGTTGCTAAAGGCCCAGTGAGCACACAAAAATCTCTACTTTCAAGATTTTTTTTAAAAAAGTGTTTTCCTAAACCCAACAGCTACCTTTAAAAACAAAAGAGTCCTGAGACCAAACACCATCAGGAAAGTATCAGTTCTAGTAAACCTCAGGTTCAGACTATCTCACAACTTCTGGATACTAAGCCTAAAAGTTAGAGAGCCTGGGTTAGTTTGAAAAAAACCCTTAAGAATCACCACTCCAGCCCTGTATGGGGCTGATTCTTGCAGCTCTGCTTGACCCCAACCAAGCTGGGCATTCACAGCTCCAAGTGAAGCAATCTGACAGGGGAAGAATTCTTCAGGGGGGGAAGAATTTCCATTCTCTTTGTCTCATCACAGGTCTAAGGGGTTACAACCTGTAGCACTCATCAGCTCTTTGGGCATCTCTAGGGAGCCTCAACTGCTTGCTACTCCCTGTCAGTTCTCAATTTCTATTACTTCAGTCCTTGAACCTCATGCCCCTGTTCACTGATATTTCCCTCAAAGCAGGTGGGTTTCCTCCTGGTTTCTTTTCTTTGCTCCTCTATCACTTTACAAGGAGACAGGGAAGACAACATTCTGTTTTGTTTTTGAGAAAACAATAACAAGAAGTGCTGGCTGGCATCACATTCCTTTTCTTTTTAAGCCTTTTAACCTTCCCTTTTCAAATGTATTACTCCATCCCATAAACACTTGGTACTCCATATTTTTTTACTGTTTCTGCCCGCCCCCCAAAGATGTCCCTAAGGTTTACCTAGGACCACTCACCAGCCAGTTCTCTGTAGGGATAACCACACACACCGGCGACAAGACATGCAAAGGGCAAGAACAGGACCAAGACACCCAACACTGCCACCCACTCCTCTGCCTTCCCACGCCTCTTCTGGCCAGGCTGCTCTCCTGGGCCTGCCGCCATCTCCCCAAAGGCCCCCTGACAGCCCTCGGGGCAAACGCCACCAGGGCCGGGCGTGCCCGCTGCCGAGGCAGA